AGGAACCTGCGCACACACCATATGGAGAAGATGCCGGTGCCCACTCCAAGAAGACAAGCTGATGGTGACCTCCCCGTTTTAAGCCTTGTGCAAGAAGAACAACTTTTGGAATTGTTCCCCCGGCCAGTGGAAATTATAACTCTAACCTAGCCCCAGCAAATCAATACAAGCTTGTACCTCCCTTTATTCAGGAAGCACCCCGGTGCCCCTTTCCATCACTACTGTGTCCCTTCAGCCGAAGCCCCAATTAAAGCCTTGCCTGTATTGTGCTCACCAGACTCAATTTTGGTTTTATTTTCTGTCATCCACTCAAAAGTTCCTGTCTCTGATGTCATTTGTCATTTCAAGGTATGGTTTTCTAGATGTTTAAAGGAGGACTCATCTGTCAGGTAGAGCAAACCCAGTGCTACAGCTGTGTGATGAGTGGCCCCAAAATTTGGCAGGTGAGAACATCATCGTTTATTATTTCCCAGTTTTTGTGGGTCATGAATCTTGGTGTTTCTGAAGGGTCAGGGTCTCTCCTGAGGTTGCACCTGAGCCATTGATGAGGCCTTCCCTCTACCTCAAGCTCCCTCGTATGGCTCAGGGGCTCCAGTTCTGCACCATAGAGCCATTCCCACGGTGACTTCATCCAAGGGAGTGACCTAAGACAGAGAGCCCGAGAGAGAAACCACACAGAAAGCTGCAGGCCTTCAGAGCCTAACTTTGGGAATGAGATACCGAGGCTTGGGCCACATACATTGGCCACATGGATCCATGTGGGGAAGGCACACAGGTGTGACCACCAGGAGGCAGGGGTGGTCGAGACAGGGTGGCAGCTGGTCCCTACTCCATCACACTTGCTCTATACACATGCAGGACCCACAGAGGAGTCCATCTGTCTAGGACACAGAGCAAAGCAAAGACCTGAGATGGGATGAGCCAGTCAGTACCCAGTCAGTACCCTCAACCCCACACACACTGGGTCACTAGTTACGGAGCGGGTGGAATGAGATTGATGTAAATTCATTGTATCTTGGTAGGAGGCTGAATCATTTCTAATAGTAAATTTATTCTGTCGTTTTTGTATATGAAGCAAACTCATAACGAGGCAAATAGTATGTAATATGTTTGAGAGGCAGGAAGATATATAAACCCAGTAGGACTCACTGAATTATCAATTAGTAAAGATCACTGCAGTTTCATGTGTGTTATTAACTAGCTGTGCAATATCAGGTAAATCACTTAACTTCTCTGAGCTTATCATATCAACTAAAAGTGCCCTATTAGGTGATTTATACTAATACTGCCACTTCTAAAAATGTTTGATGATATGCTGATGATAACAGAACATTCCCAGGGAGATTCAGAGGAATATTATCCTTGTAATTTAATTACCTTTCTAAAATAAGAGAAATGCCTCATAAATGGGCCTACCATCTGAGTGACATTTTAAATGGAGTAAGATTATGACAGCTTTCACTTGTAGTAAACTGGACACCTGGGATAGGTGAGCCTCGAGTGAGAGGGTGGTGGACAATCCCTGCAGAGACCCCTTGATGAGGGGAAGAGGGTGCTGCAGCCCTTGGCTATATCTATCCCCACAGGACTATGTGGTTGCATTGTGTGTGTTTTGGTTTTTTGGTACTAGGGGCACTTTGCCACTGAGCTACATCCCCAGCCTTTTTTATTTTTATTTTTTATTTTGAGACAGAGTCTCGCTAAGTTCCTGACACTGAACTCAAACTTGTGATCCTCCTGCCTCAGCCTCCCAAGTTGCTGGGTTTACAGGTGTGCACCACCATACCCAGCCCTGTTTGTGTTTGCATTTCTAAGAGCCTTATGTAGATACACTTTACATGCCATAACATTCACCTGCTGCACGTGAAAATGCACCATCTAATACTTTTCAGTCAATTTACAGCCATGCAAACATCACTGCCATCTAATTCTCATCACTCCCCAAAGATCCCTCGAGTCCACTTGTAGTCAGTTGTTCCAACTCCCAGCCTTGGGTCACCACGCCTCTATTGGTCTCTGCAAGTTTGCCTTTTCTAGAAATGTCCTATAAATGGAGCCACAAAATATGTCATCTTTGGCATCTGACTTCTCTCTCCCATAGCAAAAAAGTTCCGAGGTGCATCTGTGTTGGAGCGTGTGCAAGCAGTTTGTTCATTTTATTCCAAATGCTCTTCCACTGTATGAATGTGTCACCCAAATCTCTTCACTACTCGATGGGCATTTGGATTCTTCACGTTGAGGCTCCCAGGAATAATGCTACTGTGAACATTGGTGTAGCGATCTTTGCGGCCCTGCTTCCATTTCTCTTGGATTCATATTTAGCAGCGGGAATCCTGGTCACACAAACCCTCTGCATAACTTTTCAAAAAGCTGCCCCACGTTCCCTGAGTGGCCACACCATTTTATAATCCTATCACACAGCCTCAACATGCTCAGCGACCTTGTAATTGTTTGTCCTTTTTGATTACATCAACAATGATGGACAGTAGCAGAGTGTGAACTGGGGAGTTCCTGCTGTCTATCAGGGAGGACTCCTGCTCCCAAAGACCCTACCCTGGCTAACAATAAGAGTTTGGGTCAGTGGCTGGGGAAACAACTGTTTTTCTGAGCCAAATTCTTCCTCATTTTACAAAGAAGCATAGTTCCATGGATGGACTTTAATGCTACTTTTTTTTTTTTAATGATTAAGGTGACCCAATGCAAAGTCCTAAAAAATGTACCCACCCATCTCAAATAATTCATCTTATTGCACAAGTACTGCTTGCATCGTGGCTAACAATGAGACCTCAGAAGTAGATACACTGCATCTTAGAAGGCGATCAAAGATATTTCATATGAATCTAACGCTTTTCTTATGATAATGCATACTGCTGGCAAGAAAAGCCTTTGTACTTTATTCAGGAAAAAAATTCTGCATCCTTTTCCTCTACATTTAGTTAAAGGATATCTATAGCTTATGTACAAATAGATGTTCAAAAATGTGCCCTGTAATTCTTAGAAGCTATATTACTTAACTAAGTATAGTGGTTGCTCAGTTGAAATTTGCTGAATGAATCTGCCCTAAGAGTAAATTTACTTCTTCTCAGGGGCTAAAATGATACAACATAATGACTGAGTGTGGTAATAAAATTTTGTCAATTTTATTAAAAGCAGATTCCATTTCTTCACATAGTTAATTCAGTTTCTTTCCTTTTTTTAAAGCCCATTTCATTGCATTATTTTATAAGAGTGAGTTGGTTCACTAATCAGACACACATAAAGTTAGCACCACACGTCTACAAATCTATAAATGCAGGTAGCCACAATGACCTTTCCAATATGTACACACTCCTGTACACATCCACACATATATTTACAGCTCATAAATAAAATTTAAAGGCAAAGCATCATTGATATATATTTATATATATATAGCAAATCTTTAGAAGCAGAGTTCCCAAGCCATGCATGGACTTGCTCAATCTTTTACATTTATGCACCCTTGATTAAAACCCAAATCCAGAAAAATCAATGAATTAGCAATAAAGGGGGATACCAGTGACCAATCATACATCGTTTTATTGTAAGAATTCATTCCAAGCCTGATGTAGTCAATCACAACATTTGTCCTACATTATTTAGGCACAAAATCTTTCTCCGATAGAGGGATGACATTCTGGTGCATCTGGAACTATTTCTACTCTGACATGTTCCAATACCTTCCTTGACTGTTCACCTTCCAAATCACACTGCATGACAGACACACAGGTGGCGCTTTATAGGCATGTGTTCATATACCCACACACTTTCACAGTTTGGGTTCCCAGCAATAACCTCCAACATATCTGACTTCTTAATCATTTTATAATACACAGAAAAGCATTCAGAAGATATGAGATCTAGTCCATAAATAATTGTTCACTCACTCTTGATTAGTTGTTAAAAAAACAATGATAACAACCCTCCTGGCACTTCATATGGTGACAACAATCAAGGATTCTCTTTCTTGTACTCAATGGTTTATAAGCACTGCTTATGCATATAACCCAGTAACTTTTCCACCTTTTGATACTGAGGAAAAACAATTTTTGTTTAAGGTTTGCAGTTCGCGTGACACAAAATTTGAATTTTTAACACATCTAAGCCAGAAATGAAAGTTTTTTCATGCTTCAAGTATGATTGAGGCATGACTGAGATGAGCCCAAATCTCAATAGCAGCCATCAGATAGGAAATGATTTCAAATTGATGAAAATAATCTGAAAAATGTGATAATAAAATCATAGTATCGTTTTCTTTCTGCACCAAATTCTGTGTCAGCTGAGGATTGTTGGCTTGTTTTTGGAGAACATTGTAAAAATATAATATTAAGACAAAGGAAAAAAGGAACAGAGATTAAGCAATAAAATATAAAAATCTATTAAAGAATTAATGGATCTGAACTTTGTATGTTTTGCTTATAACTTTGTCATGATGCAAGCCAAGAGTCGGGCCGAGGCTTAGGACTTTATCAGCCCCTTTCTCTGTCCCTCTCCAAGTCGCATTTCCCTGGTTAACTCCTGGGCCACATCCCAAATGCAAGAGAAATATTCCAAAAGATCAGGTGTTTTGAACTGCTAAATAAACAGATCTGACTCATGCCACAGGGAACCATCTTCTATATTCAGACTTGGACAAAAATTTGAAAAGGCCTCAGTCCAAAAAAATCCAGAATTCTAATTAAAATAGGAGGGTCTAACTAATTTTAGACTATGGCCAACGCACCACCTGAAGGAGCCTTATATTACTACACGCAGGGACAATTGTTCCTTCTCAGAGGACAGAATGCAGTGCTTTTCATGTGTGCTGTCTTAGCACAGCAAGATGAGCAATTTGGCCTCAAATTCAATTAGCCACTTTTTTAGACTGTATTTTGAGACTGTTTCCTAATTGAACTAACAAGGATATAGCTTTGGATTAATACATTTTTAGGACAAGTCCACTTTTAAACACCCACTTTTAAACACTGGGCATCTTTTGTAAAATTTACTTCATTCTTCACAGAATTCTTGTGTTCTTCTTTCTGTGGCCTTTTCCAGTGTCTAAGAAAATAAAAAAGAGGAAGAAAGGCAATTTATCATCTGCTTAGTATTTTACAAACTCTTCTCAACCCCTCTGCACCATTTAAGAGAAAAAAGTATTCGACTAGGAATTTGGAACAAAGTATGTGAGGCTAAGCCCCTGGGAGGTGTAGATAAAAGATCAGAGACAGCAGAGGTTCCTGGGACTAAGAGACACTCTGACATCTATTTAGCTAAGTCCCAACAAAAAGTATCATTTTTAGTTGCTGGAGCCAAATGATTTCAAAAGTTAGGAAGTTTTCTTACTTCCAAAATGTATCCAATGAAAATCCTGTTTCATTCTTTCCCTGTGATCTGAGCCTTCTGAAGACTTAACGGAAGATACTAAAAACAGCCTTTTGTTTGGTTGATTGATTTTTGGTCCCAGGGAAAGAAACTGCAGAAGACCATAAGCCTGATTCATAATTACTTCCTAAAGTTAAGATCTATTAAAAGGGAAAAAAATACTGCCTAAATACTTGTCATTTCAGCAATCAGACAAAAAAAAAAAAAAGTATCGTTAGACTTTCTCAAATAAATGCTTGTCACCTATACATAGTATGGCCAGAAGTACTTTATAAATGGCTGGAGCTATTTCCTGATTGGGGACTTCATTTTCATATTTCCAAGTTGCAGACGATCTGGGGAGAATGAATCCATATGTGTATGTATGTGTAAGTATGTGTGTGTGTGTGTGTGTGTGTGTTGTTTGTAACACAAATGTGCAAATGTGTAAAACTTCACAGCAGAGGCCCTTTCTAAGCATAGAAGAACTGTGGCGTGCCCTCAGACGTGTGAGGAGTAGAAATGGAGCAAAGAGCCTATCATAGAGAAGCCTCCCCTGGTTAAGGACAGAGCTGTTCTGCCAGGCTCACAACCAGCGACACTCCTCCATTTCATCTGGAGTGTCCTTCCTTCCATGTTTTTGATCCAGATGGACTTATCTTGTCACTCAAAATGTGTATGCCATGTGGGCTGGGTTGTGGCTCAGTGGTAGAGCTCTTGCCTAGCACGCGTGAGGCACTGGGTTCGATCCTTAGCACCACATAAAAATAAATAAATAAAATAAAAGGTATTGTGTCCATCCACAACTAAAATTCCATTTTTATAAAACATAAAAATATATAAATAATAATATATATTATATATATTTTATAAAAAATATATAATAATAAATAAAATAATATAATAATAATAAATAAAGCATGCAAAGATATAAATCAAAATGTGAATTGGGGCTGTCAGTGGGTGACAGGGTCACGGTGATTTTCTTTGTGTCAGTTTTTCCTAATCTATTCGTGGCGAGCACGTATAAACGATAAAGTAGAAGTTTAAAATGATACAGATGTTCCAGGCAAGGTCTTCAGGAGACTTTTTCTGACGAGGCCATTCTTATTCTGCACTTTCGTCTCTAACCCTAACTGGGAAAAGAGGGCAAACTAAAGCCAGTTGCTTTTTCTGTTTCCCCATGAAGTGGTGACCGGCCTTTGTCATTGTTTCTTGTGTCACTGGCTTGTGTGACATGGTCTAGTGTTCCTCCCCTTTTTAAGTGCGAGCCATTAGCACTTGGCATCTGGCAGGGGAGCCAGGGCAGGAATGAAAATGGCAGATCCCGAGAGCTGACAGGGGCTGGGAGGGGGAGGGACGGTCACATGCTTGGTCCCCACTTAGCGCTGACGTTCTGGAAAGATTCCGCTGACAGCTGCCATTCGGATTAGCCTTAAAGGTCAGGAAGGAAAGAGCCAACAGTTGTTTTGAGATAGAAAGGAGGGGAATCTCCACACTCTCATCCCATTAGCTCCCGTCTTTGAGGGTTTTGAGAAGGGCGCTGGACCTTCCCCTTTGGTTCTGTGTCCTAGAGTCCGCTGGCACTTGGAGAATCGAACTATGTGGCCACCACGGATGTGACAAGACATTTTCTTTCCTGGGGAAGACTGCACTCACAGGACATGGGCAACTACTAAGCCTCCAGTGCCCGCTCTGCACACAGCACCTGTGAGGGCTACAGAGGGGGAACAGCAGGAAAAACAGTTGATTGGGGGAAGTTTGACTAACCCGTAAAATAAAGTAAAATGAACCCTGAATTCAGCACATGGGACTAAGACCAGAACTGTTGGGAGAAAAACAACATAAAAAAACAGAAAGAAGAGAAAAAGAGGAAGTAATGCAAAAAACAAATGGATCCAGAAGGGCTAGAGAGATGGCCTGAGGTTCTGACCACAGGACAGTGCAGGCCATTAGCTATGGCAGAAGAGTGGCATATGTGGCTGAAAGCTTGGTCTGAGATGCTCACCAGCCAGACTTCTTGAGAGACTTGTCATGGCATTTCACAAATACCGCAGATCCCTTCCCCTTCTGCAGATGAGCCACCTTCTCCCTGGAGCAGAAGATCACCCTGTGGAGGAAAATGGATGTGAACACACCATGTGGAAAAATAAGAACGGCTGTTCAGAACCGTGCTGTTCAGTGAGAACTGTCTGGATCCTGCAGGATCATGCAGATGATTGTGTCGATATTTCTAGTAATTGTACCACTCAGGGCACATCTGAATCCAGGTTAATGAGGGCCCAGCCCAGTATTCAGCAAATGAGCTAGTTTATCAATCTAGACAGGCGTATAGCTTGGTGCAGCTTTAAAGCCACAAGGCTTTCGCTAAGAGATGGCACAAGGTCAACTTCACCACCTCTTAGCATCTGCATTAGGAAATAGGGAACAGGCCCTCAACTGGCCCTGATGGAAAAATGAAGGTTCTTCATTTTCCATCGATAGCATCTTTTATGGTACAAAAGCAGACGATAAAAGAGAAATAATCTCTCAATTCTAATTTAAAGAGTTGTTTTTACTAACAATAGCCATATACTATGGCTTGCAAAATCCCTGCACATGTAGTCTAAAAGTTTTAAATCCTGTCTATGTGACCCATTTTGTGGATGTCTTACTCACATCCATAAATGTGGAGTGAATTGAGGAGACAAGATGAGATGCCCTTGGACATCCCATCCTCCTTGAAGAGATTGGAGTTAGGCTTTGAATGTCAAAGGAACTTCTCCTTTGACATAAAATAAGGAGCAAAACAGGGTTTTGGTCAACCAATGCTGAGATTTCTAACTTCTGATCCTAACTGTCACTCCAAATAATGCGAACAACTCAGGGTTCATGTTTTCCTTACTTGGAAATGCCAAATACTACAGAGGTTGAACATCTCTAATTAAAAAACCTGATATCCAAAATCAAAATGATGCCATAATGGAAAATTCTACAGCTGACCTCATATGACAGGTTGTAGTCAAAATGTAAGTACACTAAAGAACAAGACAAAACAAAAAAAACGGATAAAATCGCCTTTAACTTGTAAGTATATAAGGTGTATATGAGACATAAATGAATTTTGAATTTAGGTATCCCCAAGATATCTCATTATGGATACACAAATGTTCCAAAATCAGAAAAAGTCCAAAATCCAAAATACTTTTGGTCTCATTCATAAGGGACACTCAACCTGTACTACATCCCCAATGTAATAACAAAAGAATACTCCAGAAATACCTTAGGTATAGTTACATAGGCTCATAGGATTGAGGATCCACTTTACTAAAAAGTTTTCCTTCAGTGAAAATTGTAGGTTCCTGAGATATTGTCACCAGGTAATGACATTGAGGGCAGTTTGAAGTGCCGCAGGTGGTGGGGTGAGGGGGATCAACTGAATTACTTTTTTTGAGTCTCTCCTGCTTTCACTCGGATCTTCTCAATAGCGAAGCGGGGGCTGCTCCACCAGTCTGACCAGCTGAAGTAGGAATCACTCTTCCACTTGAGCTTCATCATTAGCAGCTCCCCAATATCCACCTCCGTGTAAATCAGGAAGGAGTATGTCTTATTGGTGGAAACTTCAGGCCTGAAAAAAAATTCAACAAATTTGGTTAGTTCTGTAAACCAGTTTTCTCTCTCTGATTTGTTCACTTCCCAAAATTGTAAATGGCTTTATTGTTTGGGCGAAATTTTAGAAATGCAAAAAATGTCCAGAGCAACACTTATGCTGAATGAATGCATTTAGTGTATTTTTAAAGCTGTCCACACCCCATTCAATCTATATGAGCACCCATCCTAATAACATGAGCCATCTACAATTCCTAAGAGGAAAAAAGTGATTAGCCAGTCATTGACATTTTCATGTATTCCTTTTCAATTGGTATTGATATGTGAACGTATTTCTACTTAGTCACAATCATGGTACACATGTGATTCTCCTTTATTCTTTGTTCTCTTCCTATTATCTTTTGCTTTTTGCCATGTTTTAGCTAATTTTCTATAATTACAATTGTTAAAGGGTAGATTGATCTTACTGAAACAGTAAACCACAATTCACTTACCATAGACACAAGGCTGACCACTTAGTTTCTAATATACACTAATTGCCAGTGTGTTATACTTTAAAAAATGTTTAAAGTTTCTATTGACACTTTCTTTAGAATAAATAAACTAAAAACTAAAAATATAAAATAAAATAAAAACTAAAAAAAAAATTACTCCACTACTTACAATTACATTTTATGGTTATAGAAAGTTACTTCCTTGCTGTTTTCCTTAACTAGAGGGTTCTAGCAATAAACGATATGCCCAGTGAGGGTTTGTACTCACTCCCCAACTCATCAGCACTGGGAACTTCAGAGAATTCATTTGTTTAGGAATTATCAAAGGATATGGAAAAGTTGCCTTTGTTTTGTATTTCTTTGATGAGGAGTGAGGGGTAACCCTTTGTCTTGGGCTTCTTACTATTTCTATCTTCTCTACCTATTATCTTAGCATCCATAAAGTGGTTTCCTATTTCTAGTGTTCTTTTTTTTAATGTCAAAACTTCTGAGGGAATTTCATTGTTTTGTTTCATTTCTTTGTATAAAAGAAGTAAGCAAAAAAAAAAATTAAGCAGCTGTAAAATTTATTTCTCAATACAAAACAGAGCTAAGACCTTAGTTCCAGAGTTCCAGTTTCAAGCTAGAGACTTGTTGCAGGTGTGATTCTGCCTTTGTTTCTCAGACCTACAGCTATGGCAAGAATCAGTGCCCTGACCAGCCCCCAGGCAGCAGGCGAGTCCCCAGGCTACTCACAGGGTGAAGGGGATGTTCTCACTCTCAGCCACGGTGCCATACAGAGAGATCTCGAAGGCTTGGTTGGTCTGCGTATCACTCTCAGTCCCAGAAAAATGAATCTTTACTTGGTAGTGGAAGACTGTAGGGGAAGAAATGGGAGCCAGGGCTGGTCAGGCTTCCTGAAAACACTACCACTATGATCAGGCAGTTCAGACCCACAGAACGTATCTCACAAGCCCCAAACAGGAAGTGCACACACAGCACCACCCATGGCTTGGAAAGACTTCTTCCCGCCATACAGTGTCACACCTTGGAAGTGCAGACTTTGAATGCTACTCCTTTCAGAAAAGTGTGGTTGCAGTGGATGGGAAAACCCACGGGTATCTGAGTTGTCGAGCAGTCCTAGATGGAGTACTAGGGAGATCACATCAAGCCCAAAACACCTGGGATGCTTTCTCTGGGACCTCTGCCTATCTTGGACATCTTGCCCCTTAGCATCTGTATCAAGCACATTTGGTACCTGTGACCAAGTCACTGAGTGAGAGGGTGTTCCTTCTCATTTCACCATTTGCCCTCCGTCCCTGACTTCAAGCTCCTTCAGGGTAGAGGACGGTGTCCATCCTCTTTATTCCCCCACTCAGCCCGGGGAGACAGGCAGTAGGCTCACAGCAAACCATCAGTGAGGCCAGGAGCACTGTTTTGAAAGCCAGTCCCCAAAGTGTTCTGCTTTAGACACAGATTCAGAGCAGGAATGAACTTAGATATCTCATTCCTGCTCTTCACCAATCTCTGCTAAAAATCCCAAGCAAATAGGACTGGGGAGAGGTTAAGGGGACAGAGGAAGGCAGTGGACCTCAAACACAGCTAATGTGAGGGAGGAAAAGTTATTGTAATACTTTTTCTTCTGTATCTCAAGATCCTGGTCATATTTTTTTCTTATTTGTGCTTCTGTCTGGTAGATGCACTTTCTCTTAAGGTGGGACACAGATTTCATAATACTAACATAATAGGCAAATGCTATTTTAATGCTACTTTGGACATTTATTCTAATGAAAATGGTTTTCGATACATTTTCTTATTGTGAGCTTCCAATGACAAATTGTATTTTATTTTATAGCTAAATAAAATAGATATAGCTATCTCTTTAAATAATAAAAATAATTAGCCAGATGCCTAAACAAAAACAAACAGAAAAATAAAACAACAAAACCCTCCAACCAGTAAAAGATGAAGAGAAACAGAGTTAAAGGCAGCCCTTGCGGGCAGCACGAAAGACAAAGCAGGAGAGGATGGGAGTGCCCAGGTGCCCCCACAGGACGCTGATGGCGCCCTGGCAGGCACACGCGGGATGCAGGGTTGAGTGACCTGTCCATGTCTTCAGAAATCAGTCTCCTCTGTACCTCACATACTCCTGGTTCTGAAGAATCAGAGAACCTGAGGGTCCCCTCATTGCCTGAAAGGTTTCCCAGAATGACAGATACTCCAGACTCGATGCCACCAAATGCACCTCTGCAGAGTCTAACAAACCGCCTTACAGATGGCCACGGACAGCAGATACCTTTCACCTCGGGAAACTGTTCTTGAATATCCTGCCTTCGCCCAGGCTTCCATGGGGACTCCACAGAAGCCAGCTTTCCTAAAATCAGCCCCTTTCACCAGTTACCTGATTACCTCCCCCTACCCCACTGTGGTTTAGGTCTAACCCTAAGCAAGAGGCCAAGTTTGAAGTTTAAGAGTGAAATGAATGGACATATCATAGCGGGTTTGGTATTTTCTTGCCTTCCAGAGTTAGTTGAATCCTAAAATACAGGTGGCTCTTGTCTTCACATAAAGCAAACTTTAGAAGTGGCAAACTTTCCATAAAGGGCCAGAAAGTTAATATTTTAGACTTTGTGAGCCGTATATTCTCTATCTCACCTATTTAGCTCTGCACTGGTGGCCTAAAAGCCACCTTAGACAATAAGGAAATGACTGGTGTGGTCGTGTTCTAATAAAACTTTATTTACAAAAGCAGGTGGTAAGCTGGGTTTGGCCCACGGGCCAAAGTTTGCTGATCCCAGGATGATGGTTTCAAATACGCTCCAAGCTCAGTCCTGACAGACTGAACCATGCTAATGGTCACAGTTACATAGGCCAGTGACAGATGAGGTTGGAAATCCCAGGCCATGCTGTGGGCCACACTGGCCAGGGAATTAGGAGCATCAATGAAATGGATCAATGCAACTCCCTGTACAGCAACAGAAACACAAATGAGGGCTCAAGGCTCAGCAACATCACCTCATTAACTCTGTTCCGGGGGATAGAGCAGTACACGTGATGCAGAAGGCACGATCAAGACAGGACTAATTGATTTTCCTTACTTACAACAGTCCCCGGCTTACCTTTGTAGGGCATCTGAGATCGAGTCTTCAGGTACATTTTGCTGCTCCTTTTGGCTCTGACCTTATTGATCTCGTAGCCCAGATTGTTGCAACGGTTCTTTCTGCAACTCAGGCAGAGTCCCTTCTCAAAGGCTTCCTTGGAGTTGCACCTGTAGGCCTTACTCGGGTTTTCTTCATTCAACAGGGAGTCGATGAAGAGATGAATGGAGCGCTCATGGGAGCACTTCACCAGCTGGTCCACATCTGGGAAAGAGAGACACAGGAAAATCTCAATTCTGCAGAAACCCACAAAGGGTGCTTCATTTGGGGGTCTATAATAGGGTGGGTGTGGTATGAGAGTAAATGAGCCTAGGATCCAGTCCTATACATCTGTGAGTATAGGCCCTATTTTAGGAGATTGTCTGGGTGCAGCTGCTCGTCTACCTCCAAAATTTTTCAAAGATGCAAGTTCACAGGAAGCTTCTAAGTTTTATGCTGTCTTATCAGTATGCTTAAAAAGCCATAATAAAAGACATCCCAGGTAGAAGTTGACTTCCCTCAGTTTTCACATCCTTTTCTTATAGAAAAATCGTCTAATATTGACAGAAAGTGTCTAGATAGTTGTAGAAACCTACTTCTAAAACCACATTAAATCAATAGTATTTTTTCATACATATTATGAATAATTAAGGATTTGTATTCTTACTAATGCTTTTTTTTTTTTGGGGGGGGGGGGCTGTACCGGGGATTGAACTCAGACTAAGCCATATCCCCAGCCCTATTTTATACTTTATTTAGAGCTAGGGTCTTACTGAGTTGCTTAGAGCCTCACTTTTGTTAAGGTTGGCTTTGAACTCACTATCCTCCTGTCTCAGCCTCCTGAGCCGCTGAGATTATAGGCGTGCACCACTGTGCCCAGCCCCAACTAAAGCTTTTTACATCAAATGAATTACAGAAATGATCAATGATGTCCTAAGAACGGATTATCCTAAGCTTTTAAAGCAACTGAAAACAGTAACATTATGCTACAAGTTCTACAGCATATTGACCAGTCACAGGTGGATCCAATGTCCATAATGTATACAAAGAACCCTTAAAAATAAATTTACCATAAGCTGACACCATTATTAAAGCAAATATTAAATTAAGCTACTATTAGATTGTACTTTTCTTCTGGTGAGAGATTTATCACAGAGAATGGTGATTTTTTTTTTAATTCACCTGTTTCTTAAAAAAAACAACAGAAGAAATTTGGATAAAGTATACCTCTTTCACTTTTAATAAAATTATAAATCAGTTCCTTGACTTTGCAACTACCTTCCAATTATGACAACACAGAGCCAATAACATTTTATGGTGCTATTTATGAAGGTCAGCAGAGTTTTCCTCTCTAAATCTCGCTTTTACTCTCTCTTACTAATGTAAGAGCAGCACTCAATGTAATCTACAATACCATAAATAAGAAATAAAATGGCTGGCCGCCTCTAATGCAATCATGCTGAATATGGGAGAATTCTTCAGAAACAAAGTTTGAACTATGGTATATTTATAGTACTCTCTTTTTTTCTGGTGCCAAGGTTGCAACCCAGACCAAGCCCATGTTAGACAGGCAGTCTCTACCATGAGCTACATCCCCAGTCTCAAATGTGTATATTAAAACCACACATTTTGGGGATAATGGGTAAGACACTGAGTCAATAAAGGCAAATAGAAAAATGCACATTTAACCAGCTTCTAAGTCATATTTACCTCCAAGGCCTCTCTCTGCAATTACACGAATAGCTTCCCCAATGTTGCATCCTGGTTGAAAAGTGCCTCCATTGGGGTAAATATCAACGTGCCCTACTGGCTTCTGGATCCCAATACTTCTGTCCGGAGACCCTCTGGTGAATGTGTGTAAGACGTCTACGAAATCCGCATCATCAGGAGAAAGGCGGCTGGGAGCTTCCGCGTACTCAAAGTTTGGTCCAGCTGGGTCCAGACCTGGATGGGAAAAAAGACCCCACAGATGTTTAAATCCACATTTATTTTAGTCCCCTTTGATATACACTGGGCACATGACCAGACCAACAACATACACGTGACTCTTTCACAACAGCGGCCACCTCAACTCTGGTGACAAAGTGAATGAAAGTGCTTTCTTACCAGTAATTCTGTTGACTTTCTTATTGGTCAGACTTCCTGCAATGCCAGCGGCATGGGCTCCAAGGCTGTATCCCAAGAGATGGACGTTGTCCACAGGATAGTTAAATTCCTCCTTCAAAGAAAAAAGCTTTTATAACTAAAAGAAAGAAAATGAAGGACTGGGGTATAGCTCAGTGATACAGCACTCGCCTGGCATGCAAAAAACCTTGGATTCAATCCCCAACACCACAAAGAAGAAAAGAAATAAAGAAAATGAATATAATTATTGTCTTTAAAATATGGACACTACTGTAAATAAATATAAATATGCATATATGTGTGTGCATGTATATACACATATATATAAACTTTAACCCATTATTCCCTCATCTAGATCATCTAGATATGCTGCCTCACTTTCTTCTTTAAGCTTAGCCATGCCACAACTTCTAATCAGAAACTTCAATAGTGGGAAGAGGTCAGAGACACGCATGCTCCAGCCTTCTCATTCAACAGGGCAGAAGCCTAAGGCCCAAATGGGTGATCTGATTTGCCCAAGTTCACTTGCCTGATCAGCCAAAAAAACTAAGAAGAGAAATTTTGTCTTTGGATGATCAGTTCAATAAACACGGCTCAGTTTTTACTTCCAATTGTCAGTTTTAAATAATTTGGCCCTGTCAGAGTGTTAGCTTCCTTCTAACTCCAAGAAACTTTTCAAAGGTAATTTTCAGAGAATGGCCTGGAAAAGTGGACCATTCTCTGAAAGTGGGTAAAATCTGCAGCCTAGCCAAAACTCTGGACCCTGAGTCACTTGGTATCCTATACTATACCTTTCCAGCCTGTGTCTTCCCAGCTCAATCCCAACCCTCTCTCAAACCATGAGGCAGGATCATATGCATTCCAACAAAAATCTGGATTCTTAATCCCCACTGAGAAATAAATCCTGCTAATATTTTTGTCAAAGAGATCAGCACTGTAACAGGAAGCAAAGCCAGGATGAAACCACCCTGAGCCAAGCAGTGGGAAGGATCTGGCTGAAGGCGCCACCTGCCCACCCTCCCCAAATAACAAGCTTTTGTTATTTCTGCCCATGTTCTTGGTCTCAGCAGATCTATTCACTGAAAATATCAAAGAAGAGGGCAGAGGGCAGGCAGGGCTATGTATTGGCTTGATAGCGATACATTTTTGGAGTCCATAATGCTGCCTTGGACTCCAAAAAATGCTCCTGCTCATTTTGAAGATATGAATCACCTCAGAAAACATCCATATCTAAGTGAAAAGGAGAAAGACCCACCCCCTCATCCAGTTCTGCCAAGAGTTCTGTTTTGGACACATGATGCTCCTCCTCCCCGTCTTACCTCCATCCAGTTGATAAATCTGGCCACATCCTTTCCCACCAGCTTGGTGTAGCCTGCAGACACCGGGTAATGCTGCTGGGCCCGCGACAGCCAGTCCACCACGATGACGTTGGAGTCCGGTTCCCTCTTATACAAGGCAGCCACAAGTTTGGGCACCCAACTCTCATACATCCCTGTCACCTGGAGAGGATGACAGGAGCTTTCTTCAAAGACCCACTTACGACTTGTTAGATCCAAAAGCCCAATACACCTACGAACTGGCGAGGAAACCCTCGGCTCACACAGAAAAAAGAAAAACCCCAAGACAGATCAGAAGCTTGTGCTACCCCTTCTGAGGCACATTCAAGAGTGCAAAGGAAGGGCAGATCGAGGTTTATTGCACTTTCAATTTTAAAGCATGTTTTATAAACTCAGTAAAACTTTAGTAATTTTGACGGTGGAAAGATCAGCCTGAGTGAATTAAGATTCCTATAGAATTAAAGGCTGTTTTAAGAGAAATTCAGCTTAATCACTTTCAATTTGGCTACTAAATGTTTCCCAACAAAATTGTTTTAGGGGATATAAATGCATTTTTTTCTCTCTCTTGTAAGGAATCATTTACATGCAGTGAAGTGCTAATGACCCTTGGCGGGTCACACCATAGCCACATAAAGGTGACTCAGTTACATACTGAATAGACAAAGAGGATTCTGCGATTCATGTTTAAGGCATCTTTTAATGGGAAACCTGTAAAAATCCAGATTATATGTAATGTAATTCCAATAGAAAAAAAGGAGTGTTGGTTTCCCAAACCAAGGGACTTTGATCTCACAGGGTGGGTTCTTTCAGATTTATGCTTCTTTTGTTTATCTGTTTGCTAAACCAAAAGTATCAAAACAGAAGCTCTAGCTTCCACTTCTGATACTAAGTAAACTGCACAATTTTTCACCAAGTTTCCCTGGTCTGTGTTGGAAAAAGGCCAATCCAAGACTCAGGAGATACTGTTTCAGGTACTTCCTCTTCCACTCAACAACTTCAACCTTGCCGGGCCACCTATACCACAAAGGGGTTGGGCTCACGTGATCTGGACGTTCCCCTCCACCCCATACACTTCTCCCTGTGGCCATTCTGCTTCCCAATCTACTTGCAGTGATAAAATGTCAGCTCTGCAGCTATTTTAACATAGAAACTGAAAAAGAAAAGGCACTTTAGGAACTTATTTAAACCTCCTCTAGACATGTCTCAGGGTAGCTGCTTCAAGTCGGGGTGCAGAGTGGGTCTTTGAAGGAGCCAGCTGGACACCCACTGAGGAACTGGTCAGTCAAACCCCCTTCACCCCACTTCCTGGCTGGGGTGCTGGCCACCCTTTGCAGCTGCATCTTAAGATCGGGGAAGATAATGTCATTTCTTCAGAATGAGGTGTTGATGGTTCCTTATTCCAGCCAGCACTGAGGACCTCCAGCTTCACAATGAGAACTCTGTACTTAAAATTAGTAAATCCAAACGAGTGGTGAGGTTCCCATCCGGCTGCCTCTAAGCTGCCCCCCAGGATGTGCCATATGTATGCTAGATGCTTGAGCATCTTTGGGCTGTCTCCTGAGAGGTGGGAGAGTGCCCTTGAGTGGCCTAGTTGCTTATCTCAGATAAGATGAAAAAACTGTGTTTGCTCCTGGCTTCTAAGTTTTGCTATACTATCAATATTTCCAAGTTAGGCAATCTATAAAAGGGCAAGTAATCCGATTTACTCTTTCAGAGTCTGATATATTTACTAATTAAGTAACAACTAATCTAATCCTTTGCTTTCTAATTCAACATAAAATACAGATAAAAGGAACCCTGAACAAAGGGAATGAAAAACCCAGGTAACTACTTCCCTCAAATCAGTTCTTATTTTCTGGGTTTTTCTTTTGAGACTCCTCCAATCAGTACTTCTTTTAGAAAACTTTGATAGTCACACACAACGCTGAACCCAGACTGTCTGCCACCTGTACCAGGTGGTTCAACTGAACTCACCAGCAGGTTCATGAGATAAGCCAAGATCAGCGTGTCTGGCCGGCTTATCATTGCAGACCAAACAGCTCTGTGCGATAGCAAACTCTGTCCTATAGCCAGCCACCCAGCCTCTGAGGCCAAGCACTCAAAACATCAAGACACACATGTGAAGAATACCCGTGGGCTCAGTGGGGCTGTCAGATCAAGGAAAGTAACTGGCACACTCTTGATAGTGGGTTAGTCATGTTATCTTCAGTAAGAGAAGGAAAGTTTTTTCAAAAACTCTTAAGCACAAAATTCTCTAGGGATAAGACTAAGATGCCTGGAATACCCAATTTATTCCTGTTGCAGAAATGTTTCTATTAAGCTTCAATTTTTTTGAAAAGTCTTGAAAGCCACATTGCATATACACTCAAAATGCCTCTAAAAACATCAAAGTTTCTCTTGTTCTTGTTAAATCTCTTAAAATATAAAATTATTCATTTTTGGAAATCTGAAATTTTATCATTTGAAATTACTATGTTAACTCTAGTAAATGAATGTCTTATCAGGATAAACATCTTTGTGAATTCTGTTAATAGTTGCCTTCTTTTTCATAAAAATTATGGCAATCATCCTATCATGCCAATAAAAAGACACTTTAGTTTTGTAGGAAAAGAAATCAGGAATAGATATGTATCATTTTATAGCTAATTCTTCTCATTAGAATTTCAAATATATCAAAATATTAACAAGATTTGACATAACGGAAAGATACTATGTCTCTGACAATCCATTTGGTAGAAATCCTTTTCAGTAACATTATCCAGTCACTAGGGATTGAAAAATTTAAAAACAAACTAAAGTGTCTAAGCAAGAACTGAAACATCAGGCAAAGTGACTATTTGATGTATTTAGAGAGGGCTACTCTGTCTCTGTTCATATTTTAAATAAGTAGATTCAACCCCAGTCTGCACTTCTCCAGCCATCTTGTGTAACAGTCCCCTGGCTTGCCCCCTTTCATCTCTAGATAAGTTCCCTGAAGTTTACAGGTGAGGTACGAAGTGGAGAAACCTTAGGGAAGTCTAGTCCCACCTCTTTGTCTTACAGATCAGCAAACTCAGGCCCAGAGATGAGAAGTGGCTTGACCATGTCACAGAGCTTGGACTAGCCAAGCCAGTACTGGGACCCACACCTCTCCCTCCACTTCAGCTTCTCCTCAATGACAGGTGTCCTTCTTCAGAGAAGGGCCTTGGGGGCCATGCTGGATGAATCATGCTCACTCCAGACGTCCCCCAGCCCTGCACAACAATAACACATCCTGCCCTGTCTACAGGCAGAGCCACCTTTTCCCTCCTCGTAGGAAGGGCTGCCTCAAGGTCACCAGCCAGGTACTGTGTTAAAGTGAAGGCTGGCTCTGTCAGAGGAAGCATTCACCAACCTGTGGCTTTAGATTCCACCCTGAGCCAAAACTGCCTTTTTTCACGTTTAAAACAAAGGCACCAGAAAGCAGGCAGAAGTGTGGGTTGTGTCCCCAAGAACCAGGGTTCAGTGGACCCCAATCCACCCTCTCCTAAGAGCCACTCTCACCGTCCAGCCGTGGATGACCACGAAGGTCTTGCTGCTGTGGTTGAAGTGGCAGTGGGCCACAGACTCTGACACTCCAGGAACCAGGTGGCAAGTGTCCTCAGCTGTGTCTTCAGGAGTCCTGAGGGCAAATTTACTTTCGATGTCCTTAAACTCTCTTGCTATAGGAAGAGGAAAAATCAGAGAGGAAGTTAACTGGAAGATTGCTTGCTTATATTTTTCTGGAATGGTATGGTGAACTAGCCACCACTGCCAATGCTATTTTTCGTTCCTAAAGTGCTTTACAAACATCAAATGTGAATTTCAAGAGAATGAAAGATGCTCTTTTCCAATGGTGACAAGTGGATGGAGATGACCTTAACCATGAGTGAAGCAGTATGGATCTCTCTGGTGTCTCCCGCCTTTTTACATCTCTAATTACATCAAAATTTTTCCCACAATATCATACGATTGGGCCTGTTAGAGAGTTTTTTTTTTTCCTTTTCATTTGCATAATTTTAAAAAATATTAGCAATAAGAAAAGTTGGGATTATGAGGAAGCTTTTGTATGGACTTGTTTCTACACCCATGGCAAGAGAGTCTGGCTCTAATGTTTAGAGAAATCATTAGTGGATTGTTCAGAAAGGCTGCCCAGCATCTGAGCCATGGCAAACACTTTCCCCAGACGTCTCTTCTTCTTATATGGTTCCTATCTTGCACACAAAGGCAAAACTTAAAAATAACAGCAAAGTTAGTTGTAGAAGAGTCCACTTTGGTTTTTCATAGTGAATCCCAAACTGGATAAAGACAGAGAACCTAGCTTTTGAAACTATGGACAATAAATCTGAGTGCCGTTAAATCTTTGTGGGTATTGTGGACAGTACACATGACATCACAGGGGCATTTGAAGGAACTTATATTGCAAGCACAATCAGACTCTTTTCACAAAGCAGAGCACAAAGGGAGGCTATATTAATAGGAAATTATTTAATTCCTTGTGAAGTGAAAAAAAAAAAAACCCAACCTATTTAGAAGAAGGCAATAACTTGTATATTTTAGACTTCACGATTCAAAACTTTTAAATAAATAGATATATAGGCATAGATCTAATTTCTGAATCTAAGTTTATCCTTTTTCACAACTTGAAATTTAAAATCTATAATTTCAAAATAACATTGCAAAAGCAGGGCTAGAATAAAAATAAGAATGAGACAGTAATAATGAAAGTATAGACATTGGGATCAGGCTCATTTTGAAATTATCTGAGGACTGGTAAACATTGTCCTTCTTATTATATTTCAAAATCCCTTATACCATATTGTGGTTACTTGCTAAGGGACTTCTTATATGTAACAAGTTGAGTGTGTACACACACACACACACACAGCTATTACCTAAAATGTATGAGACATTTCTTAATGTTATATTTATTAGAAAGAAGAGAGTTTTGTTACAGTTGCTAATCACTCTAAGATCATTTATTCAAATAAGAGTCTGTACTAAACTAGTGTTCTTCAATGTTCTTTTCATTCCCAGACAGTGAAACTTCACCAAATTCATGCATCCATCAAGAATCTGCTCCATCTCTCATCTTACTCGAAGATACAGGTCTCCTTGCTCCTTCCCAATCAGAAAATGCTGCTAGCTTTATTAGTTAATAGAATAATGCATATTTTAATATAATTCTGCTTTCAGTGCCCAAGTTCTTTTATTTTTAGAAAGTGTTTTAGAAAATGTAAGACTAAATTAATATCACTTGCTCCCACATTTCTCCACCTCAAATAACTCATACCTCCTAACAATCTTATTTTAACATGCTCCATTATCCTTTTTTTAAAGCATATTTGATCTGAACAACCTGGCAGACAGATCGATCTGGCTTACCATCTATTTGTACATTGCCATGTAAGACTATTGCCTTGTACAGCTTCAGAGAGGCCAGTTTCCTAGAATTATGCAACTTGGCCCTGGTATTGCTGGTGTTTTTGAAATGTCCAAGAATATTCTCTGAAATTACTAAGACTACTAGCTTTGTGTATTTCCATGAAGAAAAAAAAAAAGGTTTATTCGATCCACAGATCCTGCATTAGATTATATGTATGGCTCATTGACAGCTGCAATTTCCTACAGCCAACATGGCTGTTGGGTCTGTTGCTTGTAGAGAAAAGTAATAGGAAACTCATGCATTCTCAAATTTTCATTTGGGAGACTTTCATTCCTCTTTTAAAGGATTTTTTCATTTCAAGTTTGACAGAAAAATAGTGCCACTCTGTGCTGTGTGAGATACGAAGTCATAAATCTTACCACCCACCTCGCCAGTCCTTGCTTCTCTTTGGTGTGCTAATGGGAATTTTCATACTATCTGTGTTTGTAGTCCCCCAAGGACGATTCAGCAGCCTAAAGATCAATGATTTTCCCCAAACCTCTCTCATCCCTCCAGCGACCACCTCAGACCATGTAGAAACAGGGAGGAAGATGGACCCCAGCTGGCGGTAACACAGTGCTCAGTTGTCCCAGCACACCCTGGGGTTGCTACTGGGTGGCAGATGAACGGATGTAATGAGACGGTTACTAAGGAAACTACTGGTTTTCGCCTATGGAAATGATGTTAGTGACTCTGCAGTCATCTAACTCCACTGTCTTTCATCAGGTCGCCTAGAAATCAAGACCATATTAGAGTAGAGGAAAAAGGGAGCAAATGAATGAACAAAGGAACCAAGGGAGTGAGCCTGAGACAGCCCTCCTGAATTCGACTTACACTCAGCACCACCCTGTCGACCAGGACGCCCAGATGCGTCCTCATTGAGCACACAGAGAGATTTTGGGGAACAAAGCATGTTACGACTTAATGCATTTCCTACATAATCTTTACTCCTAAATTCCTAAATAGCTCAAATCAGAGTGCTTGAGCAAAAAAAGAAGATGTTTATCTTAATGTGGTTAATAACTCACAGAGATAAAATTAGGCAAAGTTGATGCACTAAGAGAAATGTTTACAGAGGGAACATTAGTGTTGCTAGAAAAGATGGGAGAACAGAACATCCTAGGAATTACTGGGTGACACTGAAGGCAGATCCCAATCATTAGCTGAACAGGATGGAGACAGGAGGTAGAAGAGCCTTGTTATTGAGCAATAATCTTTGAAATTCTGTCTCTCTCTCTCTCTCTCTCTCTCTCTCTCTCTCTCACACACACACACACACACACACACACACACACACACACTCACACCTACAGGACTTTTCCAGTAATTCACTCTCAAGACTGCTGGCCATAGTTATTGACACAGGCAGCGTCTGGAGGACTCTAAAGAAAACAAGTTCAATCACCAAACTGGTCACTTGGGAGAGGGGAAACATCAATATTGCCATTGACCAAAATGATTAGTATAGTTGAATATTCCAAAGTGCACAATGCTCTTGCCTTATCTAACAAGCAGATTTATTTTTCTTTTTAAAGAAAAAAAATTTTTATTCATGGAGTTGTAAAAAGAAAGACTGTACCTACTATCTGATTTTTCTGTTGAATTTTCTCCAAATTAGGTCCAAACCTAAACACTACCAAAAACACTACCTAACCACTACCAAAAAGTAGAGCTACAGAAAAGGTTCTGAGATGTGTGTTAAAACTCCCCACTTGAATTAGACCATCAAGTCTGGACAGGAATAAGCCATCATTATCTAGGATCCTTGTAGACTGCTTAATGAAATATTTTGGTTGACTGTCATCATGCAGGCACGTTTAAATTAAGATTTTTTTTAGTTGAAATACAAAATTCTTGTTAATCTGAAGTTACTTTTTCCTTGTTGATAGAGATAGCAAATGGTTCAAACTAACACAATGAAAGTCAATGATGACCTTGCTAACAAGTCTATTATTTGGAGGAAGGTGGGATAAAGAGAGGAACTCAGTAAATCAAAATGCAAGTGCTAACTTGTACACTGTTTTCCACCATAATTAACTTTGTAAACCAAAATTTTTTACAAAAGTAAGTTACTGATTTCAATATATTTATAGCTTGCATTGAGAAACACTAGATTCAGAAGCCCTTCACCATCCCTCCAAAAGAATCTAACTTTTCTTACTATTTAAAAGCTTCTGTAAATTTAAATTAAATTAAACTTAAATTGATCTTAGCCAGGATGGCTAAGAAAACATAGAAACAGACTTCACCATCCAAGAAAGACACATAGAGAACACACACAGCAAAGAAGTATGTACCATGAACTTGGCGATGGGATTAGACCAATGTGGTCATGCCAACCTTTGTCATATTCTGCTAATTAGCAGTAGGTACATTTTTTTTTCTATTTCTTCAAAAGTCAAAATCACTGAATCACCTAGGACAGAATTTGTTTATTCTGGGAGAACACAGGGAAGAGAAAAAGAATGTTGGCACAAGTTTCATAGGCTTGTTTCCATAGAACTCTCTGTATGTACATCTACGTGTATCATCTAAGATAACCCACACCTTCCTTCCTAGTAGATACCCATTTCCTCCATTAGAATGGACTGACCTTTGTTAGCACTCAAATGGTGTCACTCAACAGAAAGAGACATTCTCAAAGTGACCGCAGACAGCAATGTGAGTTCTTTCAGTCCAGTGGACAGACTTTACTCACAGTAAGTTTCAAAGTCTTTAGTCTCTGAGTAAACTGGAATCCTTTTATATTACTCCTTTAGAAACTAGCAAAGACTTTGACTTTTGCAAAGAGAAAGTGTGTGACAAGAACTACTCCTGACAAAGATTTGCTTACAGATTAAAAAGTCTCTATTACCAAAAAATATTTAGCCCACTATGATGACAAACTATTTTGTGAACAGACTACCCTACCGCTTTATGATGATATTCTTTTTGTTGTAGTTGGAAAGTACATTATATATAAATTCAAATGGTACCTCCATCTGGACCTGGAATTTAATAATATTCATGTCTTGAATACTTCCCCTCTACCTTTGTGACCCAAAGTCATGCTCCACCCATCACTTTGATGGCCCAAACACCTGTACATTTAAGGCAATACAACCTTGGTGGTAATAAAATGAGAATAGGTGTTGGTAGAAGAAACGAACAGCAAAATGTGGCATGCTTCAAGGCACTTTCTAGAACAATCTGTCATGACAGAGGCAGTGAATTGTACAGAATCTGTGCAGCCCAACTTCTCCTTCATAATAAAGCAAGAATGGAGGAGTGAGCTAAAAATACACTGCTTAAAAGAAAGTGAAATTTTTCCACTGCAACTCTTTGCCCCTACCTGACTGCCACCTTTCCATACAGCTATTAATCAATCAATCACTCCCTTGCTGAGCTCTGCTCCAGTGGCATTTGCTATTTTTGCTCTCATCCTCCATCCTGTTTAACTCAGGTGTTAGCCTGGAAATTCACATAGAACTGCAGCTGCTGAGCAGGGCTCCAGGGCTCCCCTCTCTCAGCTGGTCAAGTTTCCTGACTGGGGCCCCATGGGAAAAGCCCTAGTGGCTCCTGTGGGCAGTGCTTCTTGTCCTCATGTTGTTCTTAGAAATGGAGAATGAATAAGTCAACTCAGAGCCCAGAGGAGGAGCCACCAGTCACACACACACACACACACACACACACACACACACACACACACACCGCCTCAGGCTCCACCTTGCTCCCCTTGACAATCTTCCACTCCTGGATGAATTTATCCAGAGGAGAAAGGGCTGGAAAGCTACTGTGATGAAGGAGACATAGAGGATGGGTGGGGTGAAAGTGGAGAGGATGACAGGGAATCCTTTCAAGTCTACTTAGGAATAATCTCCCCTAATACATTTTACATCCAGGATAAGCATGTATTGGTTAAAATCCAATTGAAGTAATCGCCTAAGTGTAAAATCAGAGTAAGAATGAGAGGGGCCTGAGAGAACTTTCAGTCTTGTCAACTCCTGAGTTGAAGAATTTAAACTCAGAGAGCTGACACTGCCTCAAGACTTTAGGGTCCTGAACCTCTTAAGGGGGCCCAGCAAAAACTTTAAATGTGAATGACATAATTCCTTGTGTTTACAGTAAAGGTACCATTATATGATGGTATTGCTTCTGGAATAAGAATTTTGCACGGAGGGTACATGCCACCATTTAAAAACCCTGAATCTCCAGTATCCTCAAACTGATCTGATTAAAAAACAAACAAACAAAATATTTGTCTTTTTTCATCCAATTCTGCTTTGATGAAATCTCCTCCTTTTTAATCCAACAAAAATGTTCTTGCATAACTTAATGCAGACATAAAACGAGCTTCAGTGTTAATCACCGAAAGACTGAACTATAACGTGGACTGCTGAGGACTTGCGTCCCGAGAGCACATCCTTAACGTTAATTCCACCACCCGCGAGAATAGGAAATGTCACCTGCTTTTATGACTTGCTTCAGTGCTTTTTAAGCTGCTGCTGCTGTGTTAGCTAAACCAAGGTTCAAGTTACACGGACTCTCAATTGGGGGCGGGTCTCGGGCTGGGCTTTCCTCTTCTCCCCAATAAAGAAATTCGCTTCTGGCCCCAGACGCCTTCACCCTGGCTAGGAGAGCCGGCGGCGCCCGGCCGGTGACCGCGGTTCCGCCCGCGACCTCCCGGAGGCGCCCGCAAACCCCACGTGTTCCCCAGCCACGCGGAGGGACTGGGCGACCCGAATTAGTTTCAGATCCGAAGAGAGAAGGGATGGCCAAGTATAGACCTGGCAACCCCCAAGTCGGAGGCCACAGATTGCTGGTCACTGCGCCACGTTTTCGGCTGGGTGAGCTCTTCGCTAGGTTTTCTGGGCACTAAGAAAAGCGGAGCGTGCAAGCGCGGAAGCTGGAGTGTTTCCCGGCGCCCCAAAGCGTGCAGGACGCTGAGTCCCCAGGACTCCACGCCACGCGTCTCCCCTCCGCGGTCACCCGCAGTTGCACCCAGAAAACCCAGCCCAATTACGCAGAGACCCAGAGTGCCCTGTGCAGCTAAAATGCCAACAACGCCCCCGCCCCAGGCCGGCTTCCCCAGAAGGGGCCACTGCCTGCCCGCGCTTCCACAGGCTGGGGCCCAGCGCGTTCCCAGCCAAGTCGGGGTCACCTTGGCCCGCGTGCCTTTCATGCCAGCCCCCTCACCCGGCGGGAGGTGATTGCAGGTCACAGCCACAGCGCCCTTTCTCCCCGCCTCCTTCTTCCTGCGCGTCACACCCAGGACCTCTCCGGCTGAGTCCGAGAGCCCGGGAACGCGGCTGCGGCCAGAAAGGAAGGGACAGCGCGGGAACCCGAGAGACCGAGAGAAAAAGCGGGAACTAGGAACCGCTGCAGGATGATAGCAGGCAAACTCCTTCCTTGCTCCTCCTAGATCCCATTCTGGTGACCCTTCCCAGGTCCCTGGTGCGCATCCGCAGCCCCTTTCAACTTTCTCCTTCTCATCCTTAAATCGTGTGGAAGCGGCCACTGGCGGGGTCTGCAGGTGGAGAGGAATTTAAGCACAAAACATACCGTCGGCGGCGGCCACCCCTCCGCGGGAGGCGGTCAGACTCTGGAGCCACAAGCCCAGGACCACCAGGAGCAGTGCTTTCCCCTCCATCTCCGGGCGTCCTTCTGTGGAAGCTGCACGGCGCGGGCTGGTGCGCCGACGGGCTGATGCACGGGCTGAGCAGGAGGCGGGAGAAGGCTGGGACCGCGGTGGAGCTCAGAGCAAGTCGCCCTTTAAAGGGGAGGGTAGGGCAGCTAGAAGGGGCAGATTTCCTCTGAGGAGGAGGAAGAGGAGGAGGAATTGAGTCTGACACGGTTTCCACTCCACGGCTGCTTATGTGACTGGAAATATGCAAATAAACCTCATCACCTATTGGCTATAAAATCATAAGTTGGGGGGAGGGCCCTAAATTCACTTCCAAATATTTGAGCAAACTGTAATGAGGATCAACCCTGCCAGCGAGAAAGAGGGGAAAGGGCAGAAGGGAAATTTTGCTTCTTGTTAGGCTCCCATTTGCCTTCCCGGAGGGGTCTACTCCCCAGTGCCCCTGTATAGGCACCGAACACGTGTTTATTTATCTTTATGTTAAATATTCAGTGATCACCAGTTTTCCAGAGAAAGGAAACTTTGCTTTTAAACTACATTGAGGCAACGGTTTAATCCACTCCTCTTTCGGTGAATCCTGTTTGTTAATGTCCAGTTCTGCCTCCCAAAGAGTCAATGTAGGGATCCAGAGACACAAACACTGCTCGCCAGATTGTGCTTCTACAATCTGATATTTTAGCTTTGGCAGGATGCATTAGTTTATGGGGTGGAGAAAAGCTCAGTTGATCTAACTAGTTTCTAATTTTTTTGCCACAGGCAAATTATATTCAATCCTCAAATTTGTCGAAGAATGCAAGAATAACATTTTACCTTCAGAGGCAGAACACCACGATCAAATAATTTAAAACTATACCAAGTTATAAAGGAAGGAAGCTAGTTTGTGGTTCCAAATCTACAGAGACAGAAAGTAAATTAGTGGTTGCCTATGGCTAAAGAAAACCTAAGAAGTTTGAGGAGCTTGGCTGGGGTGATGCAAATGTTCTAAAATTACATTATGGTAATGGGTGCACAATTCTGTAAATGCACTAAAAACTGTTGAATTGTGCACATTAAATGGGTGAGCATTAAGCTATTTTCAAAAGTAGATTGGGGCATGTGCATAAAGCAAGAAAAATAAAATCATATTGGATACTGTACCTTTCTGCCAAAATGCTCAGGATACCTTCAAACATCTTTTTAAATGAAAATAATTTACACTAGCTAGGAAGGACAATTAACACTACGCTCCTCACCTTGCAGTTAAGAAACTATCTTGTAAAACCAGAACCTTCAATTGGCTCTTTACTGGTCTGATTATCTTTAATGTGTCCTTCCCGTGTCTCCTTTCATAGCATACAATGTACATCTGTGAAGTAGAGGATGAAAGACTATATAATTTAAACTAGAGTTTTAAAGTTTTTCTTTCAAAAATAAAATAAAAGCTAATAATGCCCCAATAATTCAAAGTTTGCTGTTCTGTGGAATAGTGTTCTCCTTAAGTTAATTTATTCAATAGCATAACGCTGTGTGTTGTCTTTTATTGCAGTTATGAAATAATATACTGTCCATATTATTTTTATTTTATAAAGCACGTAGAGAATCTTGAAACCTGCCAAGAATTAAACCCCACAGAACAACTTTAGAAGTGACAACAGTCAAATGAATGGATAACTATGATGTAACCATCCTCCAAATTACATAGTAAACTAATTTCAAAAAAGGTCCCAGGATGAGTCGAATTGCATGGGATGTGCTCCAGGTGTAAAAGACATAAACAGAAGTGCAGAAATGCCTACTATTCTATACAGAGCACTCATGTAGTCTATTTCCATGCATAAATATCCTTCCAGAGGATAACCAAACCACATTGCGTCTTTCAGAGGAGTGCAAGATTTTACACGATTTCTAAAGGGAAGTCTGGTGCTTATAGTGTATTTTTAAAACACACAGGTTAAGAGAAAGTCAAAGCACTTAAGAGTTGGAGCACATTTTTTTGTTTTTACATATGAAACCGGTTTTGGAGTGGCCTGTGCTGTTACACTGCAATGTTCATTAGCGTTGCAGAGATTTCCAGGAAGAACTAATTCAAAGCAACTCAGCCTGTTAAGGAGCAGACGGGCTGGCTCCTCTCCCGGGCCTAAGCGGTGGGCAGGTGGGTGTGGCGGCAACGCACTCTCCTGATTGGCTATGCTGGGAGCGAACGGGTGCCTGAGTTCTCACGCAGAGACTCACAAGAGCACCAGGTCAGGATTGCTGGTGCTTTAGGGAAGCGCCAAATTTCAACAAGGTTATTTGGCCAAGGATAGCTTGAGGCTTGGCTTTTTCCAAAATTGATGTTTCCTTTATAACAGACTCAAAAAGCTTTAGGCCATAACAACTAAGCGCTTTATAAACGTTTCACAAAACAGTACTTTTGAGGCAGGACACTTGTGCTAGGTACATTAAAAACGATGTAAGGAAAGTTAAATGTTTATAGCTAATGAAACAACTGACATCCCAGATGTAAATAATCATTATCTACCTACCTAGCTACCTACTTACCATCTATTGTTTTGATTGACTGCCTGCCATTTTCACAAGCTGGGCACTGTTCATTCCTTTCTGCATTTAACCATGACAAAAGTGCCTATAATTGAATAATATTTCCATTGGACAAATGAGGGTAGATTAAAAAAAAAGATAAAATTACAGTAACCACAAATCATACAGTGTTTTTTCTTTGATAATCCCAGGAGAGAAAGAAAATGTATTTGGTGTGTTAAATTTTGATGTTGCTGTAATTGCAAACCAGAGAAGGCTGGGAAGCCGATGCTTTTGTACATGCATATTTTAATGCATATTTTATTGTGGTGTTTTTGCTAAGCTAAAATATGATGACATGTCTATGTAGGCTCTAACAAGCTGGTTTTGAAGTGGATCTGGTTTCTATTACAAAGAAATATATCTCATGTAGGAAGAAAACATGGCTAATACAAATAATATTTACAAGTACAAAAGTATTTTGAAGTCTATTGACTTTTAAAATAAGAAAAAAAACTAAGATGTTTACTAAAACTAAGGACTTTGTCTAAGGACTTTTCCTTCAGTACTCACCCACATTATGGGAGATGCCACAAACTGATCAAACAGAGGTGATAAAGCAGAGGTGAACAGCTCTGGATATGGTATCTGAGAATGAAGCTTTCTTACTGAGCAGTAGAGACACAGGTCTTACAGATCCTTTTAATCCATTGCCCAACAAAGCTATGCTGAAGAATCCCAAATAGCTTATTTCTGGAAAGTGAATCTCAGACAGAATTCAATTCCTTTGCCAAAGTTGGGTGCCATGATCTGAAAAAGTTATAAGTACAAATAAATATTATATTTAGTCAATTTCCTACTAACGCCTTCCCCCACCAGGACTGAGATAAGGGATCAGGGTAATTTTGTTTGCTTGGGGCCAGGGGAGGGTTGTGGTGTAAAATAGGGTCATGGTGTAAAATAATCTAGATAGGCTTTAAGTCTTTTATTTTTCTCGAGTTGGGAATACTTATACAATTCCTTTTAAAAATAATCAAAAGCCAACAATAGCATATATGTATATATGAAGCCATATTTAATATCAGCATTAAAACATTTATCTGAATAAAGTTAAGAAGAGAAAGCAATGATAGTTTTTTAGAAAAGAATTTTTAAAACCCAAAAGGCAACATATTACAATGGTATGTCCAAAAGAAGGCTTTGTGGTGAATGGGAGAGGACAGAAGATACCAGACAGACACTGTCACAGAGGAACTATGGGACCAAGAGGCAGAAGGATATAGGCTTTTTGTTAAGACACAGCCCACAAAATCTAAAAAGAATGTCCCACAAATAACACAATAAATTTAATGCCCATGTTCATTTATCAGCAAATTCTTTTTTTTTTTTTTTTTTTTTGCCAAAAAATAAAACGCAAAACAGAACAACTTACGTACATGTAGGAGATAAAAGAAGGCATGAGAGCATTTTGCTGAGTTTTACCCTTAGTGGTCTGAAGTCAAGCTTGGCCTCAGCCTGGCTGAGCAGAGGATGTGTTGGAGGTGCCCCCTGGTGACTTCTTAGAGCTACTGTCACATCTCTAAAAAGCCATTTTAAGAGCTTGAAAGAATTGACAGGATTAGTAAACTCTAGCACTGTTACTGAGGTTTCCTGTTCCTTTTGTAATATGGTAGAACACATTGCTCTCCCCAGCCCCAGGCTTCCTCCCAGAGCACCTAATGGTGCTGGGAATTAGGAGATACTTGGTCAATGGGTGGGACATTAACATGGGGGGAAAACAGGATTATAAATTTTAATTTTCCACTAGATTTATTTATTTATTTATTTATTTATTTATTTATTTTGGGGGGGCGGGTGGTACTGAGGATTGAACTCAGGGTCACTTGACCACTGAGACATATCCCCAGGCCTATTTTGTATTTTATTTAAAGACAGGGTCTCACTGAGTTGCTTAGCGCCTCACTTCTGCTGGCTTTGAACTCTCGATCCTTCTGTCTCAGCCCACCAGCCATTAGCATTACAGGCTTGTGCCATGACGTCCCGCATAGATTTTTTAATTATAAAACTTCAACTATACACACATGTACACACACACACACACACACACACACACCTTGCTATAATCTAATCTATGTAGGCCAAATCTGGGTTAGAGAAGGGAGGCCAACTTCATTTGATTGGGCACTTTGCTAGCCTCAATTCTTTATCTTCTTTGTTCTAATTAACTCTTGAGTTTAAAAAGTAATAAAATTATTTATCAAAAATAAAATAACAAAATTTCAATCAGCACAAATGTGAATACAATCAAACAAAAGTCTTTCTTTGACCTCTGATTTCCAATCCCTTATTCTTCCCACTGGATAGTAGTAGTTCCTTTGTGTATCCTTCCATAAAAGTCTATGCAAATACAAGCATCAATATGTATGGAAAAGTGTGCATGTCCCTCTCCATTCATCCACACATATATTACTTTTTTTTTTACAGTAATGTAAGCACATCATAAGCCCTGTTTTGCAATTTGGTTTTTTAAGTCAATAATGTCTTAGAGATAAACTCATTTAAAAAGATCCCTTTTTTCTTTCTTTTTACAGTCACATAAGAATGATGGTTCTTGGGCTGGGATTGTGGTTCAGTGGTACAGTGCTTGCCTGGTATGTGTGAGGCACTGGGTTCGATTTTCAGCACCACATATAAATAAATAAATACA